AACAACTACAACATTCATGGCATCACTGGTGTTCAGAGGCTTCATGAGAAAGGTGTCCTAGGCAAGGGTGTCAAAGTCGCTGTTGTTGATGCCGGGGTTGACTATACACATCCCGCTGTAAGTGTCGTTTCCCTTCCTGACTAGAGGGTGATATCTAATGTCTTAGCTCGGCGGTGGCTTTGGTGAGGGCTTCAAGGTCATTGGTGGCTATGATCTCGTCGGCGACTCAGGTGAGAGCAGAATCACCAACATTTCTTCAACATTTCTTCAAATAGCAAGGGCTAACAAGCGAATGTGAAGACTGGCCTGATGGTGATGGGCCCAAACGACCCGACAAGGACCCATACGAGCAAAATTCTCTTGGTGGACACGGCACGCACGTCTCTGGCATTGTCGCTGGGAAATCAGATACGTCAGTATTCGCTTTCAAGGCTTGGAGCAGGACACTAACCCGATTCTAGCTGGCAAGGAGTTGCCCCTGAAGCTAACATCTTGTCATACAAGGTGTTTTCCGGAACTGTGAGCATAGCTCTCTCAATCTGATATATATACTGATGCTCTGAATACAGAGTGGCGACACAGACGAAGAAACCTTGATTGAGGCGTTTTTGATGGCTCATAGCGATGGCGTAAGTCTGATGATCTCGGAACCTGATATTGCCTCATCTGACCCCGTGTTAGGCTGACATCATCACCTCCTCTATCGGAGGTCGCGGAGGGTTCTCGTCCAACGCCTGGGCCGAAATTGCTTCCCGTCTCGTGGATCAGGGCGTTGTAGTGACGATATCCGCGGGCAACACAGGCGAAGGTGGTGCCTTCCTTGGGGACAACGGTCAATCTGGACGAAGTGTGCTCTCAGTGGCGTCCACAGAGCCCTCCTACGTCCCCGGAATGCCCTTTGAGGTTACATTCGACTACGGAAACGGCAATGTCAACAAGTCGAGGTACGGGTTCTTCTACGGCGGTCTCACTCACAGCTTCCCGCTTAACTCAAGTCTTCCCATCACCGCGCTGTCTTACGACCCCCTCAATACCACAATTGGGTGCCGCTTCCTGTCACCTGGGATGGTAAACTTGACTGGCGCCCTCGTGATGGTTCCTCGTGGTGACTGCAACGGATTCAACAAGCGCTATGCCCTCCAGTCTGCCGGCGCGAGATACATGTTGCTATTCAACGATGACGAGATCTTCCCGATGCCTAGCAGCTACGACATTTACCGTACGGAGGGTATAACTGAGCACGCCGCCGGTGTCGAGATCCTTGCCGCGCTGGCAAAGGGCGCCAAGGTTACGGCCAGGTTCTTCAACGAGTCTGACTCGGATCTAGTGAACGTGAAGAACCCCGCCGTCGTCAGCTCCTATTTCACTTCTATGGGTGGGCTGTATGATCTCCAGATCAAGCCAGATATCGCGGCGCCGGGGAGCAATATCTTCTCTACCATTCCTCACGGCAAATACGGTCTAAAGTCGGGCACGTCTATGGCTACTCCGTACGTGGCTGGTGTAGCGGCACTCTTTATTTCAAAGTATGGAGGCAGAAACATCCACGGCACAGGGTTCGGCAAGATGCTCTCGGCTCGGATCCTATCCAGCGGCGACTCGCTTCCGTGGAATAATGGGCTAAACATGACAAACTATGGGACGACGCGTGCCCCGGTCTTCCAACTTGGCAACGGCCTGGTAAATGCCACCAAGGTCCTGGACTACCGGACGGAGCTTTCGTACGCCAAGTTTGCGCTTAACGACACGACAAACTTTCGCGCGTCGCACTCTGCCATGATTACGAACAACTGCATGGGTACCATCACGTACAGCTTCTGCGTCGAGGCTGCGGGGACGTATGAGGTTATCGATGATAGGGACAATATTAAGACAGGGCCCCAATATACGGGTTTAGTACCGTTGGCTGCGCCGTTGGTCCCGGACGTGACGTTTCCTGAGGAGTTTACCGTCGGCCCGGGAGAGACCAGAGAGGCAAAGTAAGCACCCCTCATCGCGTTCCTTTTGACCAGCTTCAACTCATTCCTTGCTCCAGGTTCACCTTCGAACATCCCAAAGGCGGGAACCAGACAGCCATGCCACTGTACAGCGGCAAGGTTCGCATCCACGGTTCCAACGGCGAGCAGCTCTCGGTGCCCTACATGGGCGTCGCCTCCGATCTGCGCAAGACTTTTAGAAAAATGTTTGTCGACGACTACCCGTACGTCAACTCGGGAGCGGATGACCTTCCTATGATGTACAAAACCAAGTAAGACCCCAACTGGCATGCCCTTCACAACAAACTTACTGATGTGTTGGTTCCTAGCTTCTCCTTCGACCTCTCCTTGGAAGCGCAGGATTTCCCGAAACTCCACATGAACTTTCGATGGGGCTGCGCCGTCTTGCGCTGGGATATCTTTGAGCGCGGCTGGGAGGAGAAGAGTTGGGGGACGTATCCGCCTATTCCTGGTGAAGGTGGATTCATCGGGCATGCTGCGACCTGGGTTAGTTCATGCCACTCGATACACACCATGGTCGTTATTTTACGGGTTTCACTTGTTTGAGAAAACGCTGACTTGTACACAGGACAACGAGAAGCACGCCACCGTCTTCGACCCAGACAATGACAACGAATTGGACCTCACTCGAGGTCCCATGGGAGAGTTCTCGAGGGAGGATTACAATTACTCTCCCTGGCGAGTTTGGTGGCTTGGACGGTTCTCTGACGGATCAAAGATTAAGCCTGGAAACTATACGTGAGTCATCTTGGTGTGACTATACCATTCTGTCGCCAGAACTAATGAATCGTCATCAGCATGCGTGTCGCTGCGCTGAGCCCGTTTGGAGACCCGACCAAGAGCGACCACTGGGATATCTGGAGGCGTGATTTCGAGATTATTGGCAACCAGACGCCGTCTGATAATTAAGTCACAGATCTTGACTTGGAAGGTGGGTATTGCTCGTGAAGCTAGGAACGACTTGCTCGGGAGCTAGATGTCGTCCAAGCAAGAACTAGACGATTCCCCATCCTTGGAGGTGCATTCGTCACACTTGTTTTCTATTCAAGTGCATAGGTAGTAGTCTAGGTCAAAAAGGTGGAAGAACTAATGTGTTTGTGCGTACCTTCCATCCCACAATGGTATTGGCTGCGGCATTTGATGAGGTCCGCCAAGGCGCTGTGACGAACGAGTCATCCGAGCCACAGTAGCGAGCGCCCTTTATTTCTCTGCTTGTACTTGATGAGCTATGGATACGATGCGAATCATTATGTCCGGGCCTTGGGCCAAGGTCCACGATACGATGACAGAGAGTAGAAGAGGGAACCGTGGTGAGAAGTAGCTTTGCATTAATGCCGCCTCGCAATCCCTGTCCGGTGCGCTCAGCGAATGGGAACAGTGCCGTCTGCCCAATCGAGCCTCCGTCTGCCAACGCCGCAACCTCATTCTTCACATGTTCGTCCAGTCTTTCTTCCCACGTCGCCATCGGATTCTATTCAAAAACACTGGTTCATTGGCCGAATAAAACAAACATCAACGCCGGGTCTTCGGCAGAGAAACTGGTAGCAGACGCACACCCTGAATTACAGCCAGAACAACGTAGCAGCGCAGCTGCTGTGGTCCCCACCTGCGACCTAAGGCAGGTGTGGGGTCGTGTCCAACCCTTCTTATAACCTTGACACTCCTCACCTCTCAACCAACTATCACTGGATGCCCACATCCACCAATCCCCGATAGTCTAGTGGTGAGGATATCTGCTTGTCATTGATCTTCAACGATTCGCAGGGGACCGGGGTTCAATTCCCCGTCGAGGAGTTTCTTTTGCCTTTTGTAGCTCTATCTACGAGTATTGCAATGTTTTTGAGTGAATGCTGGGTTCGTTTTTGCGTGCTGTGATTGTTGGTGGTGTTGCTGTGCTTTTGGGTGCAAGGTGAATGTAGGTGGCAAGTTGCAGTTCTTTCTGCATGTGGGTCCCCGGGGCTGCTGTCAAGTGTCCACTTCCCGACGACCTCGCACCCTCCTCTCCTCACTGCAGCCACTGCTCAGCTCAACTGATGACCACGAATTCTTGCATTCATGACTGCCACAACATATGATGAGACCCAAACAGTGTGAGGTAAGTAGAGAATCCCGGCGCGGTCAGATGGGGTTCTCCCAGCGCTTGGATGTCAAATCATTATTCTGCATCGGAGGTACCCCAGGGACCCAGCTGAAGAACTCGGTAGTCCTGGTGTACTCCATGGTTAAGCCTCTTTCGGTCATGATCGTGACTCTTGAACTCAAGCATCTGAAGCACAACTACTTGGACGAGGCGTGGCGACACCATGTCGAATCTGCATTCAATGCTGCCACCCACATCCTCTGGGCCACCATGCCGCTAGAGAGCGCCACGCTCAAGTCCATGAAACATAGCGCTGCCCTCACAATGATGAAGAGTTAAGCTCCATGGCCGGTTTAAAGCTAAGTAACTTAACATAACTCTTTGAGGACTGGATTGCTGGTAAGGGCGTCACAGGACCCCTCATCTTCATGCGATGGTAGTCGGAAACGTCACGTCCTTCCCGAAGCTCCTGCATGCCTGTAGACTCCCAATAACGCGACTTGTGGGTTCTTCCACCCAAGGATGGTCGATGTCCGTCAGAATGGCCGAGCTTGAAGTATTGAGGCGGTTCTCAAGCTCCTCGATTGTCGCGAGAACCGCATAGGGCACCCGGCCGGCGCGCAATAGCTCAGACGCGAAACCGGTGCCCTGTCCTGCCTCTTTCCACGTTTGTCTCGTCGGAGCTAGGACTCACATCTTACGTGGTACTTGGTTTCCTGGTGCCTGGTAAGATGTCTTGCTCTCCACAAAGCGACTAGTTGGCAATATACTATCCTATCCCCCTATTATTGCACCGCGGATAATCCTACAGCTGAGGAAAAGGTGACGAAAGAACGAGTATGGCCGTCTGTAGCTCCTTGCACCTGAAATGGTACTAGGTTCTCTTGTTCCCCAGCCAAGCTGGCCATGCGCCGCGCTGAATTCATGACCCATCTCTGCCAGGTCAAGTCATTAAGATATGTCTCTGTCGGGGTTGGCAATTGCTCTACCATGGCTGGCAGAACTCTTTTCTTGCCGCTGGAAACGGCCAACAGCCATTCCGGTATCCTGTCTTCTCAGGAAACTGGAGTACGGGATACCTTACTCTTATGAAAAGTTGTCAGAAGCTGAGTAGTTGCGGTTTATTTTTCATTCATTTACTTGGCATGGAAGCAGAGATTGCTCGCATATTACTAGTATCTAACGTCGCTCCAGGAGCGTGGAGAGATGAGACTAAGCGGGTGAATCTTGCATTATTTGTACCAGTTCTTCTTCGCAGACGCTTGCTTCATTTACAGCGGCTCACCTCAAACTCCCCATTTTGGTTATTTTCCTCGAGTTCCCACGCCCAGAGTGAACATCCACCGGACATCGGGCTGTAGCACAATATTACACACGTGTGGCCTGTCGGTACCAAAGTCAGAATTCCTTCCCAAGTGATTAGTATACATATTCCATCCGGTCAGTTACATCCTCATTGTAACATAGCTTTCGTCAAATGTGGTCACCAAAATGCTCGGCAGGCCACCTCTTGCGCCAAGCAGGCCCATAAAAGTAGACCACAGGAACGAAAACAGCAAAGACGCTGATCAACCCGGTGTAAATCATCATCGCGTTAAAGTAACCCATGTCCACAACCCAGTCGGAGATCTTGAATGACAGAACGAAAGCCAGCAAGCCTCTGAACGAGGCAATATTGACCAGGGCCGGGCCCGCGAGGTGGGGGTAACACTCGAGGACGTAGACTGCGCCGATGGTGTTGGCACCCAAGAAGCCGAACGCCATGAGGCCGAGACCGGTGAGAAACGTGAAGTAGGAGTACTCTGCCTGGTTCGAGCCAGCCAGACCGAAGATGACGGAGCCAATGATACCAGCGAGGGTCGGGATGATGAGGTTGACAAGTTGGTTTTCGGGGACGCGGACGCCGCGTTTCTTCGCGATGCGGTTTGCCATCCAGTCGGCGGCACTTCCAGTGACCAAGGCAACAGCGACGGCGGCGATGAGGACCGGCACGAGGCAGAGGCCGAGGTTCATAAAGTCCCATCTGTCTCGGATTTAGTCAGGTTTCTCAGCCACGTCCGAGAACCAAGTACTTACGACCAGGGTGCAGTCAAGAGAGCTGGGGCCACGGTGTATCCAGCAGCGAAAGCACAAGCAATCATGACGCTATTAAGCATCGTGATGAAGAAGATTTGCGGATAGAAGAAGGTGCGAAGAGTGTCGACGAAAGCATTCCAGCCCTTGCGCCAGTCCATCTTGCCGTGGAAGAGAGCAATGTTGTAGCGGAAGGTTCTGGGACCACGCTCATGACCAATCTCATTACGAGGGATACCATCTTGAAGCTCAAAGTTAGCCGATGCCCTCAAAGACTCTGTATGCTTCCAACTTACTCATTTCGGCGCGTGTTCGTTGCCATCTGGTCTCAGGCATGAAGAAGTAAACACCAATAAGGAAGAATGCCGCGCCGATGGCCGTGATGTAGTAAATCCACCGCCAGCTCAAGTCGATAATCATGTACGGTGCCGCGATTCCAAGAACAATGATGATGAGACCCTGAGCGGCAAAGATGGAGGAGATCCAGACATTGCGCTGGTGCACAAAGACCATATCCTGAATAATGAACGGAATCAAGCTCTCAACGGTACCGGCACCAACAGCCTGGACGCAACGAGCAAGCAGATGCGACTGCAGCGACTGACTGCTGCCCGCCCAGAGGCATCCGACGATGGCAACAACACCGGTGCTAAGAACGACGGGGCGACGGCCGACGGAGATAGCCATTGGCACGAGAACCAGGTTGGACAGTCCAATCACTAACACTGGAAGCGAAGCCAAGAGATAGATTTGAAAGATTGGCGGTGCGCTCGGCAGATTCGAAAGAACCTTCAGGGGATCGAGACCAGCAGGGAGACCACCGCTGTCGGTCAAGGGCTTGAGGATCTTCGGGTCGAGACCGGCGTACTCGAGAGCAAAGACGGGCAACATTGCACCGAGAATCAGCTCGGCGGCAGCGGCCAGCGCACCGAAGCAGCAGAGACAGAAGCACCCCAGGACTTTGCGCGACATGGGCAGGTTGAGGGGATCCCGCGGATCTTTGGTCGGCGCCGGCTGGAGGATGAGCTGTCCGTCCTTGTAGAGGACGCCCTCTGGTGCCGCTACATCAAACGTCTGGAAGGTCTCTCCATGCTTCACCCCCTTGTTGATGTCTGTCACCGAGCTGTTGTGACTGCTAAAGTGAGACTTCTGATTGCCCTCGAAGCCTCGCTTGCCATCCTTTTCGTCGTTGCGTCGCCAGAGCGGTTCGAAGAAGCTGGAACCCGCTGATGATCTCGCGGCCTGCACGGGAGCGGGTTGCGTAGTTTCTTGAACGTGATAGTCCATGGTTTCTTGAGTGACTTGTCGTGAATCCTGTGCGGCTGTAGCATTGAACTCCATACTGGGCCTTGATTGTGTGGAGAGGCAGGAAACAGTGACTAGATCCAAAGGTCGGAAGAGAATTTCACATTGCAACAACAAAGAGGAACCCCTCTGAATAACATGCAAAAGCCACGAGGGGTCTGGCCATGTTGATACCCTGGATTTCAACACAGACCAAGACGCCATGGCGCACCGAAACACGGAACGCGTTCAGAACAATGCACCCACACAGACATTGGCCACAATATTTGATATTACCCCGCAAGATATGGTTAATGGCTAGCCTTGTAGGGCAGCACTGCATCTCTAAATGTCTCTTAATTAGACCAATATTTGAACTTTCTTCATTATTGGATGTTTCGTCGACGTCGCCGGGTCTGTGTTGATGCATCACTGCTTCCGGTTTGCCTCCACATGCTGTTTCGCCAACAAACAAAGAACGGATGAACAGGCGCCCGTGCCGAGCCGGCCGATCTTGTTCAATACCGGAGTGCTATCAAGACCGAAATCTGGATGACCGAGACCACACATCTATGTGGCAACCTCGAAGAATAGTGCGAACGCACCGAGGCAACCAAGCATGTACTAAAGAACCTATGACCGCCTTTTCCATTATCACCGTCACTATCCTTACATGTCTTTTACCAGAATATCTCAAGTGTATTTGTCAGGGAATGCATGACAGGAACCAGCGGGGGAAAAAAAGCAAGGCCGATGTAAATAGACGTAGTAGAGGTAACGGAAGTAGTAGTTATAATAGAAGTAGGACCCGAGAATGTGCTGAGCGGTTGACTATTCTATCATCCATGCCCCCACTCCCTCGTCTAAGTCGGCAATGACGATCAAGCAGGCATTCCCGGACCATCCTCGTCTACTTTACCTTAGCTTGGTGAACTCATGCTACAACACAACCAGTCTTGATGAGATGGCTCCTCAAATTTTTTGTGACTATGCGCAAAAAAAATCTAAAAAAAATCTCCGCGTCTTCGAACACCGGACTTACACGGAATCGAGTCCGTCCATCAAAGCCGCTGCGACGGGGTTCGTCCGTTAGATGCGTGGAGCCCGTGGGCTCAGGTTGCGGGGTTCGCCCGTTAGTGACTTTCACCACCAGGATGGCCATCTCAGACTCGCGGCAGGGCACAACACAACCCGTTCTAAAGTCGATTCAGCCACGAAAACCATCGACGAATCTCCAGAACACCTCCAATTTCCCTAGTTCGATTTTCCAATTACTAGAGAAAATAGAATTTCACTCAGTCAAGAAATTTGGGAAAAACATACACACTGTCCCGTTCTCTCAACCCACTCAAGACGTCTTCACAATGACTGTAGTCCACATCGGTAACCCCCAAATCGTTACTCTCCCTCACGTTCCGTGAGACAATTCTGACCTCCCTTTTCCAAAGTATTGTTCAAGTTCCGTCCCGACGTCTCGGAAGAACACAGGTCCACATTCGTCCGCGAACTCAAAACCCTAAAGTCTCTCCCCTGCGTCAAAGACCAACGCCTCATCGTCGGCGGGCCCTCCATCACGGATCCTATCGAGAGGAGCAAAGGATACCAATTCGCGCTACTGAGCTTCCATCAAGATCGGGAAGCGCTAGAGGCGTATCAAGCTAGTCCGGAGCACCACAGGTAAGCCCCACCCCGCGTTCTCTGTCGAGGAACCCCAAGTGTAAGGAAGTCGAACATGGAGCTGAAGCAAGTTTTGGGATTCTAGAGTGACGAGCACGTATTTGTGGCCGTTCAAGGAGGATGTGACGAGGTTTGACTTTGAAGTTGATCAGGAGGACGAGTATATGTGCGAGTTCATGGCAAGAGGATTAGCAAATGGGTCGGCGTAGGAGGAATGGCGTCAGGTACAGGTCGGATGTTGCGATTAGAGTATAGACTTGTTAGAAACCCAAGCCCAAGCACAACAATTCTCATCAATACCTTTAGAAAGCTTTTGCTCCTCGTTACAGGCATGTGAATGAAGTGAGACGCTTGTGTTGGTTGAAGACCACGAACAAGACCATTGTTGACTTCAGTCTCAGAACTCTTCCCTCAGGCTGTTAAATCTGAATCTGATAAAGAACTAACTTCTCAACCTTACGTGGCAACGACTGGGAGACCGTAGATGATACAGCATACGCACACTATGATGAATTACAACTTCAAGTACGCCCCGTAGATGAAGTGATCCCCCCATCAATAACAATCTTCTGGCCCGTAACATACCTCGCTTCATCACTCGCCAAGAAAGCCGCCGCATTCGCAACATCCCACGCATCTCCCATCCGCCCCATCGGCACCTGCTTCTCTCTCATCCTCTTGAACGCCTCATACCCGCCGCCGGTGCTACCATCCGAGGCTGGAAACCTCTCCGCCAACTGCCTTGTATACGGCGTCTCCATCAATCCAGGTACAACCGTATTCAACCTTACCCCCTTCTCGGCATACACCACAGCCGTCGCCTTGACAAACTGCATCACAGCCGCCTTGGTCGTGTTATACGCCACCTGCGGCTTGCCAATATACCGCATCCCCGCAATACTCGACACACAAACAATACTCCCGCCCGTCGCCTGCGCCTCCATGACGGGCAAGACGTGGTGGCAGGCGAGATACACGCTCTTGAGATTCAACTCCACCTGCGCATCCCATGTCTCCTCGCCCATGCTCGCCGCACACCCCGGCTGCGAGCCGCCGACATTAGCAAGCAGGATATCGATCCGGCCGTGCTTCGCAACGCACATGTCCACGAGCGCCTTGACGGACGCGGAGGACGTGGCGTTGGTCGCGACGACGTCGCATACGCCGCCGGCTTCCTCGATGGTGGTTTTGGTCTTGGCGGTGGATTCGACGGTGCGGTTGCCGCCGAAGATGGCGGCGCCTTGCGCGGCGAAGGTCACGGCGCAGGCGGCGCCGATACCCCAGCCGTCTGAGCCTGATTGGCCGAGGCCGATGACCAGGGCGACTTTTCCTTGGAGGTTGAGCATTGGTGATGGATTTCGGCGGATAAGGAGGCGGAAAAGCGGGCGGCAATATTCAAGATGCAGTGAGAAGCCCTCGGCGAATTTGTTGAAATACCGAACAAAAAGTCATATTGAAGCTGGGTATAAGTAACAGTGATGCATGCGCCTATCTGCTCTATGCATCAAGCATATCACAAGGTCCTATGAGGACATGTCCGTCGACGGCCCCGTTGTCCGCGAGCACTTAGACGGAGAAATCCCGACGGCGCCGAAGACGATTCGGCCCCTTTGCTCGTGTTATTACCGAATTAGACCGGACGATTACGACATGCGGAGTCCCCGCATCTACAACACGACTCCGGATAAGTCTGATTCGGACCAACCATAAGATGAGGAATTGTAATTCCCGCCGTCGCATTACATCGTTCCTTCGAGGAGTCGCTTGAGACTCCGAGATCCCGAAACCACAGCAGATATGAGCGACCAAGCATCAATCCCAAAGAAAGAAGACGGCAAGGCCCCGGTGACGGGGGACTATGACCTCTCGACGCCAATCGACCCCAACGCCGCGGGGTTGAGGCAGGGCCTGACGTCCTACGGCGACGCTCACTTCTCGCTGTTTCTGCGCAAGGTCTTCATCAAGGCTCTCGGGTACAGTGAAGATGCGCTCTCGAGGCCCATTATTGGCATTGTCAACACATACTCGAGCTTCAACCCGTGCCATGCAAATGTCCCACAGCTGATCGAGGCCGTGAAGCGCGGCGTCCAGCTCAATGGCGGCTTAGCGATTGATTTCCCGACCATCAGTATCCACGAGAGCTTTGCGTCGCCGACGAGCATGTATCTGCGGAATCTGATGAGTATGGATACGGAGGAGATGATCAAGGCGCAGCCATGTGACGCAGTGGTTCTGATTGGAGGTACGTGAGCTGTGTTCAGCTAGGTTGAAAGATGAGATGAGTGTTGACTGATCCGGACAGGCTGTGATAAGACAACGCCTGCGCAATTGATGGGTGGTATATCGGCGAACAAGCCTATCCTACACCTGGTCACTGGTCCCATGATGCCGGGAAGCCACAAAGGTGTGAGAATTGGTGCTTGCACAGATTGTCGCAACAACTGGGCTGCCTACAGAGCTGGTAAGATTGATATCGAAGACATCTCGGCTATCAACGACGAGCTCGCACCCACAGTAGGCGCATTCTGTCACTACAAAAAGACTCTCGTTTGCTGATCGCTATGACAGGGAGGTACCTGTGGTGTCATGGGTACCGCATCGACCATGGCTTGTATTCTTGTAGGTCTGGGAATGATGCCGTTCAAAGGTGCCACAGCCCCAGCGGTCTCGTCGACAAGACTGCGCATCGCCGAACAGACCGGAGGCCTGGCTGTGGCCCTCCACCAGAAGAAGCTCAAGCCGCAAGACCTGCTGACCCGCGAGTCTTTCCTCAATGCTATCACCGTCCTGCAGGCCATTGGCGGGTCGACCAACGCCGTTGTACACATGATGGCCATTATAGGTCGTCACCCTGCTGTAGCCGGCACAATCACGCTCGACACGTTCGATGAAATCGGAAGAAAGACACCGTTGTTGGTTGATCTGAAGCCCAGCGGTCAGAACTACATGGACGACTTCCACAATTCTGGCGGCATGCTGGCACTTTTGCACCAGCTCAAGCCCCTGCTGCATCTGAACGCGATGACGGTGACAGGCAAGACGCTGCGAGAGGAGCTGGAGAGCACGCCATTCACCCCTATTCCCCGTGATAGCTTGGTCAACTGTCTTCAACCTTTCAATGATCCTCTATATCCAGCTTCGGCCTTGGCCGTGCTCCGTGGCAACATCGCCCCCGGCGGGGCTGTCACTAAGCAGAGTGCGTCAAAATACCGCCGACTACTTAAGCATTCCGGCCCAGCAGTCGTCTTCGCTGGCTCCGCCGACATGGCCCTTCGTATTGACGATCCTGATCTTGAGGTGACGGCCGATAGTGTGCTCGTTCTTCAAAATATTGGGCCCGTCGGCAACCCAGGTATGCCAGAGGCGGGTCTTATTCCCATCCCTCGGAAGCTGGCAAGTCAGGGAGTCGAAGACATGCTCCGCCTGTCTGACGGGCGTATGAGCGGCACAGCAGGCGGGACTATCGTTCTGCACATCTCCCCCGAAGCGGCAGACCCCGAATCGGTTCTTGGTATAGTCAGAACTGGCGACATTATAACCTGCGACGTAGAACAACGCATCATCAAGGTTGAGATATCTGACGAGGAGATCAAACAAAGGATTGCCGAGAAAAAGGAAGCATTGGCCAAGGAGGAAGAGAACGGTGGCAGTAATGCGCCTTGGGTGGCGAAGAAGAGAATCCGCGGCTATCGGGGACTATACCTGCGTTCCGTCATGCAGGCAGAAGGGGGAGCTGATTTTGACTTCCTCACAGCGAATGGCCCATCCCAATAGTCTTAGACAATTAGAATCCAATTGGCTCTTGCATAGTCCATGCCCAGAGACAGGGCCATCAAGCGAAGCTCGGGTAAGTTGGTATAAAGTCATCAAACAGGCCTCGCATGATGCTGTCCAGATTTGTGTTGTCACCTGTGTGCATCAGATCGCCGAATGCAGTGTTGGCGAGAAAGGATTCGAATGGGTCTTGATGGAGAAAACTTTCCGAGTTACTTCCAGTCGCGGAACTCATCGACAGTGGTTGGGTAAGGCCTTCCGAGAAGTTTAGTCTTGGGGGTTCCACCCCACCAAGGCTGGCATTCTCATTGTACGGGCTCATTGTATGCGAATGCGCGGGATCTAATCGCAAAGATCGGCGGTGAGTAGGAGGTTCTATATCGAAGGTTTGGCTAGAAATGTCCTTGACCCATCGGATGGTCGCCCGGATCATGTCGTCCAGGATGTCGCGGCAACGTTTTGCGCCAGACCAGTGCTCGCCCGTTGCGGCCAGGACTCCTAACCCGGCGCTAAAGTCAGACATGAGGGCATCTAAAGCCGTGTGCTTTGCTATTTCGGGCACCATCTTCAGGCAGTAGAGCATAGTTATGATACTGAGGACTGCTGAGTGACAGGTGTTCCATGTATGTATGAGCAAATTCTTCTTGTACAGATGATCAAAGAGACGGATGACCTCAAGAGCGGCTCCGAAGCATTTCTTGAGGATCTCGGGCGATGGATTCGGAATGGCGGGGCTAGGCCGCAGAACGAGCATCCGCAGGCCGTAGCATCTGATCTGGCAGATGGTGCGAATGTAGTCCGAGTCGGGTGTGTTGGGAATTTGGCTGTACCACTCGTCCAGCTGTTCCAACATTCCTTGCTGCCACTCATTGATGTCGATGACTGCTGGGTAGGCGTAACGTGGTGTGTCGCGAATAATGCTATTCGCAACGTATTTGAACTCTGAGTTGAGCTTTGCTAGGCGGAACAGGTGTATTGAGAAGCCCATATGACCCGGGGATTTATGGGCAGGTGGCTGGAGTGATCCCTGCAGAGAGGCATCTTCTAGATGCTGGGGAAGCTAAGAGGATGTTAGCCAAGTTCGGGTGACAGAACCTGTACTGAGATGGACATACCCGAAGATCACATGCCTCGTCTCGCAGTCCAATGGGGCGTCCCATCATGGTTGCGACCATTCTATCCAGCGTAAAAACTACCCAAAATATTCTAGTCCTCATCTCTTGTTCGAGAAGGGAGATACCTGCGTTGGTGTTGATGTCGCGCTGTAGGCCCAAGTCAAGGACAGCAGCGATGCACTGATAGTTCAAATACCAAACATTGAGACGCATGTTGGAGCTATGCATCGTAAATATTGTGAGCAACAGAAGACATTGTAGTCCCGGAATCGAGCTGTCAATGCTGATCCGATCGAAATATTGCATCGCAGAGAGGCAATATGACTCTCCAGGAAGACGTGCTCTCACTCGACGAGAGAGCACCGTGGACCCCAGAGCGAGGACCATGAATACTTGAAAGGCCCCTGTGGGAGTTGACTCCATGTCAATCCCGCTCTCGTACATTTGATCCATCAAAACCATAAAGCTAGGTTGGTGCAAAACTGGAAACTGGCAGTTGATAACATCAAAGTAGTTGTCTGCGAGCTGTCTAGCGTGATGTCTGCTTGGCAGTGACATCGGGCCATGCATTGCCTCAACCAGAGCGGTTGGTATGGATGGATTCGATGGTCCGGCCCTGACTGGCCAAGATTGGTCATCCTGTCGACTCGAAGTCAACATTAGTCGGGCGAGGAAGTATCCGCTTGACGGCCCAATATACTTCGGGTCTTGACTACTACCCAACGACACCATGCCGATCTCGTGTGATAGCGTACTGCTAGCAATGGGGTCGACCAAACGAGGCCCTGAGCGGGTGATCTGAGTGGCTTGCACTGGCTCCGAAGTTTGCATCGGCTGTGCTTGCGGAGGATGACTGCCTGTGAGGTTGAGACCATCCTCAGGTGATGCACTGTTGACTCTGATCGTGGAATCCCTCGCAAAGGTTTCATCACCGTCGAGTTCCATGTCAAAGTCTCCAGACGGACCTTGGCTCAGGTCGACGTCCGCACATCTTTCCCTTACAATGCTCTCGAGCCACTTAACCCTATCGATCAAGTTCGAAATTTGGCTAGCTGAATGTTAGAGAAATCTGCCCAGAAGCGAGCGTTGAGGGTGGCCATACGCTCTAGGAAGATCCCGAAGGCGGACACTTTCGCCGTCGGTACAAGCAACTCCGGCCTTTTTGCAGTTGTTACATGCGGGCAATTGGCCATCGCACTATCAGACCTCCACTTAGCACCATCCTGTCTTCAACGGGGTCCGGAGGTCCACTTACACGGATCTTCCGCCGCTGGCACCGAGAGCAAGCGAGTCTCAACCGCGCGGTTCTGCGGGCCTGGCGGGTCGTCGGCCGGGAGCTGGCTTCTTCGGGCATATTGCGTTCTTCAGGACAGCCAGTGCTTGGCTGGTTTCCGTCATAACGATAAGAGAGCGATGTGGTGTTTGGGTAGGTTGAAGGGAGCGAGGCGGGAATTCTCCGAGGTGGAACAGAGGATGAAGTTGGGAGACTGCGGACTGCTATGTGGTGCGGGGAAACCCCGCGGCCTCGGATCCTTTGTCAGTTTGTTGTGCCGGGGTTTGCCCGCACCGTCGGCTGATCTCCGTGCAAATGCGTTTGCTCAACTGCCTCCTTCCTCATGACGCCATTCACATTGCCTTGGTATATCAAGAGGGAAGATTTTATATTCGGGTGTTTTAACTCGTCTTCAATCAATCCGGTCGTTGATTATTCAATCGAACTCGTCGTGCAATACTCCACATCATCTCTAAATCTCGCACGCCACGTCGTTGGGAACTCTGCGCCTTAAATTCCGCACAAGCATTCGCCAAGATGGCCGACGAGGCCCAAAAGATACCCGTGGCTGCCTCTGAGGCCCGCCGTCTCGTTGAAGATATCCTCAAAGGCAATGGTGTCCCCGAAGAAAACTCAAAGATTGTCGCCCGGTGCCTCGTCGCTGCCGATCTTCGCGGCGTTGACACCCACGGCATGAACCGCATTCCTTCCTACATGGAGCGCGTCCGCCAGGGTGTACTCAACGCCACTGCCCAACCCGAGTTGAAGCAGGTCACACCCGTTGTGGCGCACGTCGACGGCAAGAACGGCTTCGGCTTCGTTGCAGCGGAGATGGGCATGGCAGCCGCCATCGAGTCTGCCAAGACTTTCGGCATTGGCATGGCAAGCGTGTCGCATTCCAACCACTTTGGCATGAGTGCGTGGGTGGTGCAGCAGGCCCTTGATGCGGATATGATGAGCCTGGTATTCACCAACTCGAGTCCTGCGCTCCCGGCATGGGGCGGGCAGAGCAAGCTTATGGGTGTCTCACCGATTGCTTGTGGTGCACCGGGGAAGGACAAGCCGTTTATCCTGGACATGGCACCGTCAGTTGCTGCCAGAGGAAAAATCTACAAGGCCAAGAGACGCGGCGAAAAGATTCCTTTGGACTGGGCGCTGGATGCCGAGGGCCGTCCTACGGATGATCCCACGGCAGCATTGGGAGGTGTCATGCTGCCGATGGGTGGTCCCAAGGGTTCGGCATTAGCCATCATGATGGATGTTTTTTCTGGTGTCTTCTCTGGCTCTGCGTTCGCCGGTCACGTCACTAACCCGTACGACCCTTCAAGACCGGCGGACGTCGGTCACTTCCTAGTCGCCATCAAGCCAGACCTCTTCATGAGTCTCGACGACTTCCGCGAAAGGATGGCCTATCTCTACCAGCGTGTTGTTGGGTCAGACAAGGCGGCAGGAGTAGATAGGATATACTTTCCGGGTGAGATTGAACAGCTGCAACAACAGGAGAGAGAAGAGACAGGCATACCCTTAGTACAGGCCGAGATCGACGCTCTCAACGAGGAGGCAACAAGAGTAGGCGCTAAACCTTTGGTAACTCAGGTAGCTGCATGAAATACATCGCTCTAACGATTGCATCTGCCGGGAAAGTGCGCGACATCCCATCACATTGAGTCTTTATCGAACGGGATCTTGCAAAATTATGTTGCATGGCTTCCAGTTCGAATGGAGCTAGTAGGTAGGTTGAAGAAATTTCTTTTCTGGCCTTGTTGGTGATCTTGAGAGGTAGTTGACCAGGTTGGACTGCTGAGACCAGCAAGCTTCCTTATTCTCAAGTCGTCACCGTCCACGTATTCTGTTCGTTATTTGGTATTGAGGAGAGAAAGGCAGATATAGTTGCAGATATAGCCTAGAACTGTCAAACGGCGATCGAGTTAAGTTTTATTTCACGACATTCGGCACAGACATTTTCTGAAGAGTATTATGGCAGCCATTGGTATGAGCCGTGTCTTTCTCCCAGGCCATCGATACCCTCTTCCGGATCCAGCGTAATGTGCCATCTTCCTGCCCTTCCTATCGCTTCAAAGTACGTATCATGAACCTGAGAGTGCCTTGCTGAATGAAGCATGGCTATTTCTCAATCCGAAAGACAACTTGACTATCTTACAGACTCGGCAAGAGAGTCAGCCCTGCCCCTTTCCTAGAAAACCGAATCTCCAACCACCTCTTCCTTCCTTAGGCAACGATTTGCTTCTAGGAGGAGGTCAAACTGAATCAACGGCTAAACCTTCTTCCCAATAATGCAGGTGTCGCTGAACAGGCTATCAAAGTGCTCGGTGGCTTGTGGTCGACCAGACCTCGATTCTTCCCACATCATCTTCCTCGCCCACACATCATCATCATCTCCATCTCCATCATCCACCCACAACTTCCGTTCCGTCCGATACCCATTCATTTTATCGTTCTTTTTTGGAGCCCCCGTTGTCAACAGTATCCATCATGAGATTCACTACTCTCGCTACGGCCCCGTTGCTGTTTGGCTCAGCTTCACTGGTTGCCGCAGTGTCGCCTCCTTTACCACAAGAAGCATATACTCCCAGAGGCGTCTCCAACATTATCCCCCAAGGCACCAAAGACCATAAGGAGCACGAAGATCGTACCTGTTTCATCCTCGGCACTTTCGACCTTGACTTTGACGAGTTCAGTGTCTCTCTGGTCCATGGACCTGTCAACGGGCACCTAACCGATGGCTTCTGCCACATTCATGCTACGGGAGTCGTCCAAGATAGCAAAGGGAACAATTGCGTCTTTGACGGCGGACTCAGTAGTCTCCGCTGCTCCGCTGAATCTCCCACGACCAACTTTACTTTGGCCATTCGCCAACCACCAGCCGTCGACTATCCCAAGGCATCGGTACGCCCTCAAATGACGCCGTGTACCTCTTTGCTAAGAACCATATGCTTGGAAAAGGTGAAAGCTCAGTGCGCCTGGTGCTTTCATCACGCAACGGATCCCGATTGTTCCCAACTTACCTTCTGCCCATGGCGCTTGAGTCTCCGACATAGCATCACCAGCTCGCCTTCTCCCACTCCAATCTCTGATGGAACTCGCTGCACGGGGGCCAAGCCTTCCCTCCCAGCCTGGCACCAGTATCTGAGATGGTGTCGAGATCATCCTGAGTCAGACAGATGCCCCTATCTGCCGTGGATGTTGAATTCCAAGACAGTTCATTCAGACAACGCATTCAACGATGCCATTGGCTCCATCTGGTGTCAAGTCTCCAGTCGGTGTCACCATTCCGACATTTCTGGACTTACGCCGCCAAAGGCCGTCCAAGCAATCCAAAACGCTATGGAACGCGTCTGCACGCGATATCCTCCCACGTGTGCCTTTATTCCTTCTGTCATGGAATTCGTTCTGTCTTCCATGGAAGTCATTGCCGACGTCGCGAGGCTATACAAGGCTTTTCTCACAGGCCAAGGTCTTGAGGACTTCAATCGCCCAGCTTTACCAGACTTGTCCGAGACCAGCCGCGGCACCTCCGCCCGGGCGGGGCATTCAAACGACCAAGGCAGTCTTGCTGTCATTGATAATGCTCTCCATTCAGCTGTTCTGGAGTTCATTTGCGAGGAGCTCTGCAGCCCGATCTGTGATCACATCCCGTCAATTATGAGAATTATTGATTCGATATTGAAGGGCAATGCCGACTTGGAGGAACTTACCAATGCGTTTCAGTATTACCTTGCCAGAATCACCGCAGCTGACATCCAGACCATAACTGAAGGAGCTGAGGACATCTACGACATCTTCTCCACCACACCATCAAAAATAGAGGACCTAGTAGACGCTTTCAAAATCGACTACAGAACACTCGGCCTTGATGGCACCTGGAGGCTGCTCCGAGCTGGCTTATCCGTTTACTTCCGTCTTTCTCCGTCTGGCGAACATAAGCTATTTCAAACACTTGGAGACATCATTTCCCGTTTTAATGCATCCGGTGCTTTGAACTAGACTACGGAGATTTGATGCAAAGGATACCCAAAGGTTTGCTGGAGTTTGACGGATTGAAAGACGAGGGGGCGATTGGTGTACGCAGTGCAAAAAAACCACGTTGTTGCATCGATTGGTGTGAATCACCTGTTGATCAGGGCACAACGGTCATGAGTGATGGGTTGAGGTACACGCTAATGGTGAATGGGGACGAGCAGTATAGCTAGCTACCTAAGTCACATAATATGAGCATCGCTTATGCCCAGCATGATTGAATGCAATTGCAATGCGATGGCGACATGAGAAAACCCCTGCCCGTTATCAAACATAACTGCACTATGATGTGAATTTCCCCAGGCCGGCCATTGGTGGTCGGCCCAGCGCCTGGTCGACTCTCCTGTGCCATGGATCACTTGGTAAAAGTTCCGAAGATGTGTGGCACTATTTGAAACCATGTCTCATCTTGAGGCTGACGAACGTCGATGTTTGCCCATGATCCTGCGGACCTAAGGTTTTGACCAGTGTTGCGGCATAATTGGCAGCCGTTCAAAGCGCGCGGCCAAACCAGGTTGACGATACCTAGCATTAGTTAGCATCGATGTAGACTCCTAAGTCGTTCTCCTCGAATTGACTTGCGCTGATATAGGCGTATGGGTCGACTTTGCATCACCTCGACGTGTTCGTACAGATACCACCTGCCTCCTTTCTTGAGATAGGAGTAGAGCTCGGCAATGTTCTTCTCCGGCTCAGGGATGCTGCAGAGGCAGAGAATGGAGACGATACAGTCAACACTTCCCTTTTCAATCTTACCATTCCACGCGGTCGGGTCGGAGAGGGATTCGATGCCGGTGGGGACGATCTCGTACGTGCCCTCCAGCCCTGCGGCCTGGATATTCTTCCTCAGCGCGGGATGCGCCTCGGTGTTGGGCTCCACGCCGTAGACTCTCTTCACACCCTCCGCGACGCGCCTCCTGACGCCGCCGCGCGCCATGCCAGCCGCTGCGTCGGCCGACTTCTTCTTCTCATCACCTTCGCGGCCCTTGGCGAAGATGTCTACCCACATCCCCGACCCGGGCCCGATCTCCAGCACGACGCCGCTGACGGGCGGGTGGACGGGGTCCTCGACGACTTTGCCGTCCGTGACGCGGCCCTCTAGCAGAGCGACCATCATTTCTGACCTGCCCACGCGGATGTTGGGGCCGAGCCAGGCCCAAAAGGCGGAGAACCAGGCGTCTTGGACGCGGGAGGGGGTGGTGAGGGCGGCATAGTCTCCCTCGCGGAAGAGGCGGAGGATAGTGGGGGGAAGGTAGGAGAAGGCGTTTAGAAGGAACATCCAGGGGCCTACGAGGGCCCAGAAGATTGCGGTTGCTTCAGCTAGGGAAGACATCTATCGCCGTGTGAGAGAGTAGTATCTGTGGTGTGTGTTAGAAATGGGAATCTGGCAGGTGAGGGGAAACGAGCTCAGGGCTCAGGGGAAGCTTACAGACTGAACACTGGGTTATATACACAATCAGAAGAACGAAATACCCGAGGGAACCTGGAAAGTGGTGTGTCCGACGAGGGCTGGCCGGGTTATAAGTGGGAGCTTCGCAGGGAATGGCCGAAATGCCGATTGAGAAAAGAGGTATTATTCAGCCGGGTATATGCATCTATCGAATACAGTGACAAGCTGTTGATGCCATTATCGTACATAGCAACCCCACCAACCCCACCAAACTCTCCTCGGTGTCTAGATCTAGACAGCTTCCTTTGACAGTTCTCTCTCTCTCTCTCCCCCCCCCCCTCTCTGTTTGCGTGATCTTCTCTTCTCTCTTCTTGTTTCTTGTGTCTTGTCTCCTTTTACATCCATCGCGGCTCCAAGTATTACTCGACTTGTGCACACACAATCGCAACATTGGCTTCATCAGCACTTCACACCATTCGACCTTTTCAAACGTCTTCGCTCCTGCGGTGGCCGTGTTGGTTCCTTATCTACGGAGTATGTCTCGCGCGAAATGCTGACATCGTGCCTGATGACCCCGGTCTTCCAACGTCATGCAAGCTAGGGGGGTGTCATTCACGACGATTGGCCAGCCTGCGTCCATCTCGCATCCCACGCTGTCAAGGAGCGCTGTGTCTGCTGGCGACTGCTCGAACTCGTCCGCGTTGATGAGGTGCCGTTCCCAATAGAGACAAGCCTCTCTGGCAGCTCCATCGGGCTTCGAAGATACCTGTCCATTTGAGGCGCTGACGCCGTGTAATAGGCAGCTGCTCTAAACACACCAACCCCACAACCCGTCAGCATTGATATTCCTTCTGCGACCAACTGATCAGGGCCAGAGAGGCAAAGAGGCGAAAGCTTACCCGCCATTTGATGTGGTGGTGCCGGACGGTGCGGATCGTTGAGACATCGTGGGGAAGAAAAGGGGTAAGAGATTATTGGTGTTTGGAGTGATTGATTTCTTGCAGATTGCAATGCACGACTACAGCTGTAGGAAGATGAATGTTCGCGATAGTATCTACGAGATGCCTCATATCCACAGCACGGAAAAGCTTCCGTACATATAGGGAACCTGAGGATGCCATTTCAATCGTTGACTTGCGCGGTTGGCCTCCAGCAAGTTCTGCTCAATTGAGGGAATCGCAAAGGCACGAACGCGCTGTTTGGCCCACGTTTGGCCTCAGTGAGGCTTTCCAGATCTTCCTCAATCTCAATACATAAATCGTGGGGAAGGGTGAAGAACACCTCACGCATCACTTGCGCGACGCTACGCGACGCTGCGCAATCCTTCAGTCTCGCAGACTGCCATCTTGAGTCGTTTTCGAAGGAGGGTAAGGGTAATTTCGGTCAACATGATCGTCATCATTGGCTGCATCTCCATGCGTTGCCTAGATTTTGGCGCGGATCGCTGCCCCTCTGGCAAGGCGCAGCTGCTCACTCGAACGAGAGCAACAGCGCAAATGCGCCCTTTCAAAATGTCACTGTGGCTTACTTTCGAGGGCATTTCAGAGCCTGATTTCCCCCCCCTCCTTTGTCCCTCTTTCCATCTCTTCGTCGTTGTTCCTGACGCCTTTTTTCCACATTTCGTGCTTCGCAATTGCGGAGTTTCTGCCGATACCTGGATTTTGACGCTACTTTTGTTGACAGCATGGGGTGCAAGACAGTCGCAAGCAGCCGTACAACGAGGCTTGATGCAACACAAAGACACGATGGTGTTGCATCATCGAGGTCATCAGTCACCGCGTCAGCCACGGTCGATGAGGCCTCCAGGGACCTTGCATATCAGTTCCTTCACATGAACCGCTCTTCACGCCGTGCAACGAACGTCAACCACATCACCGAAGTTTCCGCGATGCCTCCACCCTGTGCTGTCTCTTCAGAGCGTCCGCTTTCCTGGACCCTCGATATTCCGTTGCAACCTGGAGACCGCCGACACTCGTCGTTTGAATCAGGAAATATGTCTAGCCTGGCATATCGTGTCAAACCGCAACAACCACAGCCGCATAACCCGAGGAAGCACCAGAGGGGAAGCCCTTCTGGTGATAGCCTAGAAGAGCGACCAGGTTCGACAGAGGAGAGACACTGCAAGAGGATCTCGGGCGACTCCGGCTATGGGTCAGATACGCGGCGCCGAAGTCGCGACCGAAGCGGGGATGCTTCCGATCGCCGGAACGTGAGCCTCGAATGCGTGAACATCCAAGCCGGACTAGGCGAAAGCCTCATCCCCCGCTGCCCATCACCCCAGTCAGACAGCGACGAGGCCTTGGGCATCCCACGGCGATACAAGAGGCATCTGCGCAGACATAGCGCCGCTGTCGTGACTGCTCAGCCCAATGGACCATCTCCCGCAGCACAACAAGAGGTCGGACCTGCCAAGCAGAATACGAGAATGTGCGAGAGGCTGTCGACCCAGAGAGAAAGACTGGCAATGCGCAAGGGGAAGATGTACGCTGAGAAAGAGGGATTGGAGAATTCTCTCTTTAATTCCATTAAAGGTCTGCGACGAATGAAAGGAACCACAACTCTGCGCGACCCAGTTGACAATTCGCGACCCCCAACATCGAATATCGGGGTCACGAGAGCGCCCAACACCACTTCACCAAACGTCCCGCGTGTTCCTAAAGATAATCTTCCACAACGACGGCCTTCCCTCGTTGGGCCACCACCCATTCGGAGAAGCTCCACATTTGCAGATGATCTCACTCGGAGGGCAAAGAATCGCTTTTCTCTATTGGAGGACGTAGATGGTCATCCCATCTTCCGTCCAGATACACGCATCGCCAAACCGAGCCTACATCTGGAGACTTCGGTGGAATCTCCCCAAAGGTTCGAACGGCCCATCCAGCCTGCCTCACTAAGAATGCCACGACCTGTCTCCGGCCCGCCCAAGCTACCCCTCAACTGGCACGCAAACCTGACGCCTCGACCCTCTTTCCTTCCCGTCGAGGAGCAGTCTGACTCGGCCAACGACAGCGGAGACGAATCATCGGTCGAGTCCAGCGTCTTCTCGGTTCCAGACTCCCCAATAGAGCCATGCCAACTCGATCGGGATGATCCGCTGGCACCGCACATGGGCGTCATTGTCGGCAACATCTTCCAGCGCTACCAAGAATGGAGTGTCCGCGAAAGGGGCGGCGGACAAGGCCGACGGGCCTCGGGACAGCGCGCCAATACCAACACGCCCGACTCTGGTCGCTCGTCGAGGAAGCGCTCACACTCTGACGACCTACCGGACCAAGACGCCTCCGACGGCGGGGACTCGAACGTGATACCTGGGTTCAAGAAGCCAAAGGTCCCAGCGAACCCCTCGAAGCTAATGTTCGCGTGCCCCTTTTGGAAAAACGACCCCGATAACCACCGCCAATGCTACAAGAAAGTCCTCAGCCAGATAAAGTACGTCAAAAGCCACCTCTACCGGTTCCACGCCGCGCCCATCACCTGCCCCTGCTGCGGCGCCGCCTTCCAGGACGAGGAGACACGGGACCAGCACGCGCGTGCACGGCGTTGCGAGGTCGTCAACGAGGGGTACATCACCAACCACGAAGGCCTCTCCCAGGGCCGGATGCGGCAGGTCTCGAAGCGCGCGAACCCGAGTCATAGTCCGGAGGAGCAGTGGTTCACCATCTGGGACATCGTGTTCCCCTCCAGGCCACGACCGTCGTCACCGTATATCGATGGTGTGCTCTCCGAGGACCTCTGCAGCCTGCGCGAGTTCTATACCAGTGTCGGGACGGATATGATGTTGGAATACCTGGCGTCCCGAGACCCCGAATCGGGAAACGACGAGAGGAGAGCCGCCATGTACGACCGCGTTGCGTTCAATCAGCTACAGGAAAGAATCTACGAGGCATGGATGGCGCGTCGCGGCCTTCGACAGATTCACGATGCCAACGTCTCCGCCACGCCGCCGCGCACAGAGTCCGATGAAGCAAGCCGTGCCTCCCCAGCAAACGGGGCATCTTCTTCCCGGCGCGAAGACGATCCGGCACAGCCGCAGCGGACGCAAACGCGGACGCAGGCGTCGCAATATGGTTCACAAGAGGAGACGATCGTCCAACCCATGCCGGTGCCGCCGGATATGGCTGTGCAGTTCACAGGCCAGGACTTTGGGGAAGCTGATTTCAACCGCGATGGTAACATGTATTACGACACGCATACGCAGGCGTTGTTTGCTGATTTAAATGGGTTGTTGCCTGGTGCTGGGCAGACGGAGTTTGAGCAGGGCGGTTTTGTACCGCCGTATATCAGGTAAGGTAAGGTAGGCGGGGAATATAGATCTGAGTTTTGTGTTTTGCGTTTTGTGCTTCCGACCGGCTCGGGAATCTCCATGTCATAACTTTATCAACTATGAGATCGCTTTGAGAAGAGCATCTCTAATCACGGATATGCATACTCGATTTAATCAAACACGGTTCCAAGACGAAAATGAGCTTTCCTCTGCTGCGTGATTACAGTTTCCTAACGACTCGTGTATAACGAGTACAATTGCCGGGGAACGAACATTCGCAACCCTTGTTACGCGGGAAAAGAGACAACCCAGGTATTGGCTGCTGCGTGTAAGTGAAATGTCTCGAGTACAACTGTCCACGTAAATCTGGCTTGGGTTCACAAGAAAATTAAATCGCCTCTTCGCAAAAAGTCATGATGTGTATAGAGTACATACTCATGTAGCCGATTACGTCTTTTGAAGAATCCTTCTTTCTCCGGCTCTAGCGACAAAGACGACCCCCGTGAACTCCAAACCCCAGCCCAGTCCGTAAGATGCCCATTGCCACGTCCATTTCCAGTACCGATAACTCCATCTCTCTCTCTCTCTCTCTCTCTCTCTCTCTCTCTCACCTTTCCTTCCCTTCTCCATCCCTCACAGCAACACGACAGCCAAACAAAGCCAGCCGTCCGGATACGCCGCCTCACGCATCAAATCCTCCAACGGCGCCGAAAACGGCACAGGCGAGCCGTGCAGCACGACGTTGGCGAGCACAGGGTCCCGGCTGGAGGGGAATAGGCTGGGCAGGTGAGACTGCAGCGCGCGGCCTAGGGTCTGGCGCGTGCGTGTGCCGGGGACGACGGGCGGGATGAGGGTTTGGAGGACTTTGAAGGCGCCTGGGCCTGGTGTGTCTCCTTGTGCTGGTGCTGTCGGTGACGGGGGTATGGCGGCGGCGGAGGTGGAGGTGGGGATTGTGGTTGTGCCGGCCGGGGGCGACGACGGGATGTAGACGCGCAGGGGTATGTTGCGGAGAGGGGTGGGCGCGTTGAGGAGGAGGGCGTTTATTTTTGAAAAGGAGGCGTAGTCGTTGTCTTGGACTGCGTTCCAGAGGGACGAGGTGTCTGCTTTTGAGAGAGACATTATGCGTTTTGCGTTGCCGTAGCGGACAAAGTCTGCCTGTTTTGGGAGGGGAGCGGGTTAGGTCATGTTAGGTCGACAAAGGCAGTTTGGCGAGCAAAGGTCTCAAACATTTCTTGAGGCGGGTGTGTCTCTCTTCTACTGTGGATTCATTCCTTGTGGGATGGGACATTGTGCGTGCGTTTGTGTTCTAGTGTGAGGTGATGACGGAGAAGAATGTGGAAAGATGGAGGGGCAGGTGATGTGATTTCTTGTGGCGTTGTGTAAAAGCAAAAAAAAAAAAAAAAAAAAACAGCTTGGACGAGAGACACGTGTCTGGGTGACGGGGAATGGACATGTCGCTGGGAAGATGGAGATTTCCTTTCTCGATGTACAGAGTAAGACAAGGGAGAGAGTGTGCGCGAAGATATGACGGGAAGGGGGTTGAGAAAGAGAGACATTGAAGAGGTTGGAGACAGAGACAAGGAGAGAAAGACATGTTTTGCGTAACTCTACTCACCTCTTTGACGCAGTTGAGGAAGGTGTCACCGATATCCCAGCTATCGCCGTCGCTGACGGTCAGGCGCCATGGCAAGGTCGGCTGGTAGAGGTCGACGAGGAGGCCGAGGGGCAGGTTGCGGAGGAGGAGGTCTTCGTGGTGGAAGGCGGAGACGGGGTGGCGGAAAAAGGCGGAGCAGCGCGGGACGAGGAGGGCTAGGTAGGAGAAGCGCGGGAGGGAGGTGACGAGCGGGGTGTTTGGGGCGGAGGGGTGAATTATGTGGAGGGGGATCTGGGCGGACCAGAGGGTTTGGGGGATTGTGGACATTATTGAGGTAGGATGAAGTTGTGGTGAGAGTGGTAAGAGTGAGGTTGAGATGAAGGTGGGATGTGGGATGTGGGATGTGGGATGGAGAGTTTGGGTGGTTTCGATGATGTGGTGGGATGAGAGGCGGGTGAGAGGCAGGTCAAGGAGTCATCGTAGGTAGTAGTGTGTGACGCTCGATCGGATCTTCACTATGGCCGGCGGCAATTTTGCGGGTATGCGGAAATGGGGTTCGTAGGCCGGATGAGCACGGCGCGGAGTCTCAAGAGACTGACGTTGCAGTTTGTCCGGCGTTGAACAAGTGACGGTCGGGACGGAGGCGGAGGTGGGGCACCCGAACTCCAGGTCAGACTCACGAGCCCGGCCGAAACAAAGCCCCGCCGTCCGATGATTACATAAGCTTTTCCAAGCTTACCTAAGCTTGCCCAAACTTGTAGCAGCACCGCCGCGTTGCCTCTTCGAGTTACCCGGGTCATCCCTGGAGCTGAGACAGCCTTTGGAGCTTAGCTGCCTGGAGCTTTGCTGCTTTACCCCAACTTGCAAGCCGTCCAGCCGCCCGGGTGTCTAGAAGCTTACCCTGCACACCTCCAGCTCCAGCTCGCACACCATCGGCATTATTTCGTCCTACCTGACCTTGTCCTTCCCTTACCTTACGCAGTACCTTACGTGCTTACCTGGTCCCAGTAGGAGCAACTTAGGAAGAGGTGGTCGGGGGTTTTCTCTGCCTGACAGCGGCTCCTTCCACGTCCACAGGGAACGTCCCTCCTTGAAGTCCATGCTTTCCGGGCGGCACTAGGGCGCTGAGCTGAGAAGATGCTACTGCAACTACAGCTCGTTGTGGTTGTGGTTTCAACCTCAACAACATCATCTCCTGCTGACCGCTGTCAGCCTGCCATTGGGATTTTGCGCTTTTTGTTGGTCATACTTTCAAGCATCAGAACCGAGACATAGTCATCCATGGTCGGCGCAAAGCATCAACCGTCTTGAAGCAACTGCTGGTGGACGGCGCTATCACGGCGAGATGTTGAGGAGAGAGCCCCTGAGTCCCTGACCATGAGATCCTGATGCCCGCGGCAAAACTCTTGAAGCAAGTCCGGCAAGGCGAGCCAGACATCACATCCTGCATCATCTCACTCTTATTTACACGCCGCCTGCGAGTGTCGAATCACTCCTCAGAGAATCAGTCTTTGGGCCTTGATGCCTGTGCATCTTCCACGACGATGGGTAATCCCTAAGATTACTGTTCGATCCAGGCATGATTCGTCGCCCGCCTCGCGCGCTGCGCGCCAAAAGGGGTCGCACGCCAAACCTGAAAAGCAGTTCAACGGCATGTCGTGGTCAGTCGAGGGTGCACATGACCCGGCCGATCACCCTCGCTTCGCGTCGACCGCCGAATCGTCGTCGCTCACATGCGTCTCCGTCACTTCGTATGGATACCATACACCCATCGCTATTTTCAACGCTGCTTGGCCATTTTGCCCGCCTTGTCCAATGTCCGCCGGCCCAACACTATCCACTGGATTCCTAAATGGGTCACCGGCGGGAAGGGAATTAGGTATCCAAGGACCAAGGCTATCCCTCTGGGGGGTTGTCTTCTTTTTTCTGCTCACTGAGTCGTCAATAATTTGAATCGCCATCCATCACTCGCACTACTTGGTGCACTACCACGCTGCGGATACAGACACTGTCACTCCTCGCACACCCCGTAGTCTTCTCTTCAACCCGGCGGCCGATGCTACGCGACACGCCGCACGCGCAGGCAGAACACAGGACGCAGGTAAGGAAAAAGCAAGAATACACCGCGTGCCACGCTGTAGCTCCGAGACAAGAGGTTTGGTTACACGAGAACGAACGAGAGCTCCCCACCCTCTGTGTCTCTCTCCTCCTATAATGTTCAGGCTCTCTCTCAGACTCTCACACTCTCTTTGGCTCTGAGCTCTCTGAGCTCTCTCCATCTGGGGGTGTTATCAACCAACCAGAAGCTTACACAACTCGCACACCCCTCCCTCGTCGAGCTCTTTGCCAACGAGCTCCGAGCTCCAGCCTCCGCCTTCTCATACAGCTTCTTTCCAAGACATTCCTTTTCATTAATTTGCTTTTTTCTCTTCGCAAAGCTCTTTATTTTCCCCAGTCTCAGAGCAGTCTTGGTCGCATTCGGGACCGTGTCGGTGGCCACAGCACGTTATGGACAAATTTTCCCCGGAATAAATCTCACCAACCCAGTCAGACCGTTGGACCACGAGGTCGGTGAGGTGATGATTGATCTGTTCACATGGCGCGGGGCGGGGTTGGGAGGGGAGGGGGACCAATATCCTTTGGAGATCAAAATGCCGGGGTTTTCGTTCGACATGTCCACGGCCACAAGAAGTTGTGACTGCAGTATCTCACATGAGCGCACTCAATCTACATCTCTCCATCTCCAATCTGAATCCGCGGCGGTTTGACCGCCCTGGGAACATGGACATGGAGGGGGGTGACGAGTCAATGTGTCCCCAACCAAACTAGAGCGAAACCCTTCTTCTTCTTCTTCTTCTTCTTCTTGTCTCTCTTACTTTCAGGCTTTCTCATTTCAATTTCACCATATCACCAAGAGGGGATCCCATAGTGGCGCTTTAATGCCGTCCTAGCGCAGTTTACTAATCGGCAATCGACGCGAGCTATCAGATTTCCAAAGAATACCGCGCAGTAGTACCAGTAAACGCATCCTTGTCAGTGTTCCGCTGCTGGTTAGGCACCTTCACACACTTCACACACTCCAACTCTCTTGGAATGCCATCCAGGGTTTTAGCTTTACGGGACTCAAAATGGAAAGCGAGTCTAGCACCTCCTTTTACGCTACTTTACCTTGGTAACTTTGGTAAGTCTTGGTTTCTGTTTCTTTGCTTTTTCTCCTTCTCCGCCGGCCGCCGTACAGGTTGCAGGCTGGCGCTGGATTATATCTGGCATGTCCTGCCCTTCCTGCCCCCATTTGCAGACTTCTATGCGTGCTTGGTAGAGTCTACATAATACTTGGTCAACACCCCCTCCACCTCTTCTCGTCACTTCTCATTCCTGACAGAATCACTCAAACGAGATGGCTGCGCAGCACAGCGCAGCAGCAGCACATGCGCTGCGACCTTCTTTCATGTCCTTGCATCTGCGTCCCTCTCTCTGCTTGGCTCTGCCGCTGACGCCGCCGCCCTGCTCTTCTTCTTTCTCTCTCTCAGTTTCCAGTCCGTCCGTCCCAAAGTACCTTTGAGGTCGAGTGACTTTTGAGTGACAAAGTCAGCCAGAGCACCAGATCATCACCTCAGTCTCGAACAATTCGAGGCTCTCACCATCACCTCCCACTCAAAAACCCACAAAGCTACCCTTGTCATCAAACCTCTCTGCCTTGCTCACACGCCCCCCCCCCCCTTCTCCGTCCCCTCTCCCTGCTACTCTCTATTCCCTGTGCTTGTTCCCGTCACTTTCCCATCACATTCTCGCCGTTTTCCCCATATCCCACGATGCCCGCAGAAGGCCGGGAATCTGAAAATCGCCAGAATAAAACGTAACCCCCCAAATCCATCTTAGCTCCTCCAAAACCTCCAACTCTCAAAGGTGTGGTGAGTGACCGCCCAAAAACCGTAAACTCACGTTTCCTAACCCCCCTAAACCCGGCACAAACTCCCAAACAGAGTATGGTCTTCCCGTCGCCTTACCGCCCCATCCCGTGCTTGCAGTCACCTCCCCTGTGTCTTTGGTTCTGGTTCTGGGCCTCCCGCCGCCCACGTCCTAGAACTCCTAGTCTGCGTTCGTAGGCGACCATCACGTTCACCACCCCTTTCCCGCGTCCCGTGTCCCGCCTGCGTATCCGTATCGACCGTCCGTGCCGCCGGCCTGGCCTTGCCCAGCCCCCCCGTCAGTCGCTCATCGCCGTGCCCGTCCATCCCGTCCGCCAGTGCAGAGAAAGGGAGTACTTTTAATCGGATAATCCATAGTAAGCAAGATGCAAGACCCCCCTCCCCCTCCTATCCCCGTCCCTCACTCACTAAACAACCGCACTATCAACCTGGATGAGCTCTACCGCTACCGTACCCATGCCCCCGGGAGAAGGGGGCCACCCGGCTCAAGAAAACTGATCCCATGGCACTGGGTCCCGGTCCGTCAGTCCCCGGTGTCCCCCTTATGGGTAGTACGCTTACAGCTAAGCGGTATCCTTGATTTTGATTCCTTTTCTCTCCCTTATTTCCAGATTCAACGTCGTGTCGAGATGTGATCTGGAGGAGCGGAACACGCACGACGGAGAACCACGCCGCCGCCACGCAGATGACAGACTCGGTGGCACCCCATCAGACGCCACGACACATCTCCCCATCACCGGTTCCCTGGATCTCTTGGGGGGGGGCTCTGAAGTGTTCTAGGTCGTTTGTCGGTCAAGTGTGGATGGCGAAAATACTACGCCAGCCAGGTCGATCACACCTCTCCTACCCCCCGAGCCCAGCCCAGCCTAAAGCAGCCGGCGCATCGGGGTGCATGATGTGCCTTGCCTTTTGCTTACCTCCTATCCGTACCTAAGGTGTCAAGGTAAAGATTCACCTTAGCAATATCGTGCGCGTCTGCCTGCTCTGCCGCCCAGTTGGTCACGTTCTGTTTGACCTGGGCTAGTAGCCGCGACGCGCGGGAACAAGTAGCAGAGGTTCAACTGACCACGTGTGGGCATGCCAGATTCAAGTGCCGAAGTTGAATTAACGCGAAGATAGCTCCCTTGGAAGAGTTGAATTGTCTAACGTGTCTTTAACCCCTATCTTGTTCACACTGGAGGGCAGCTTAGGTGGCCTGTAGATATGTGAAGTGACGGTTGAGAAAGATGCGCCGCCTAGGTTTCTATTACCACTATCTAGGTAGATTAGGAACCTTTACCATTGTCTCTGAACCTAGTCAAAGTAAGACTTGGAAATAAAAGGGATTAGGTAAACTGTCAAAGTGTCAATAGCCATTTGACAGGACAGGGCAACTATAATGGGAACCAGAGGGCGAAGAAAAAAAATGATGAATGACTGATGCAACTCCTAAGCGATTCCGATTCCCAACCCGCCAAGTCCCGCACCCAACATCGATCACTTTTTTTTTTTTTTTTTTTTAAAAAAAAATCTCACACCGGTTTACTGAGTACCTAGGCACTTGGGTTACAACATACGCCGGGGGTAAAGCGCAAGGGGGGAATATTATAGATGATAGCTTTTCCCTGTTTCCCGTCCGCCCGTCAGCCCAGCTACGGGAGGGACTTTCCCAACATGGACGGACGCGACGGACGGCAATTTACAACTCACGGGACTCCGTAAACAGTGATGGTGATCAGTGAACTGGAACATTCTTACCAAGGCGGTGCGGCGAAGTATGGTGCCTATTAGTAAGGTACGGTAATCGAGCCTTCTTATGCAGACGTCTCTTTTCGTGTTCCCTGCTACTGCCTTTCGGACGTAAGGCAAGGCAAGTCGGCTGCAAATCTTCGGCCGCAATGCAAAACGCGGCACGATATACGGTATACGCAACAGCATCAGCGATCAGGATACCCGAGACCGGGGAGGCGGCGGCCTGGGCCTGTTGTTGGTTTCCTGATTGCCTACACTCCAGGTCAGGGTGGTTCCCACCTCTCTCCACCTCTCTAGCCTGAAACAGGTGAGGCGAAAAGGCGAAAAAGGGCAGAAAACTGACGTATCTGTATTTTCGTTCTGAGCGTAATGTGATGATTGCGATTAGATACTTGCATGTAATTCTTCACTTAGGTGAGTGTGATGCGACGGGGGACGTTACTTGTCAAACTGTCACTTCAGGTTTAGGTTTTTTCTTTTTTTTTTTTTTTAATCCAAGGTGCGGCACAGAGTACCACGCCCGCAGATTGCGTGGGTGTGGGGTTTGCTGGGTTTCGGTTCTCGGAGTTGGCTAGAGGTTTTGGAGGACTGTGTCGATATATGAAGATCGCGCAGACCTTGCCATCGCTCAGTTCTCAAGAATTTGAAGAGTCGCGAACGGACGCAACGCGCGTGCGTTTTGCAAACAACCCCCCCTCCCCCCTCCGATTTTTGCGGCGCTGGAGAGGCTCTTCAAACGGCTTGGATAACGAGTCAAACGTCTCCTTTTTTTTTTTTTTGTTAGCTCTCTACTTTTTTTTCCCTTCCTTCCAGATGTGCCCTTCTGTTTTAGGCTTACAATTTGCGATTTACATTATCAACGCCGTCGAGGAATGTGAAAAAGCCAAGATAACAGTTTGATGCCGCTGATTTAGACGGAGCTTTTATACCAATAACTCAAAAAATGATTCATCTCAATTCTCCTAGTGGTAGGGCATTGAAGTCAAGCTATCAATAAGTGACGTGACATCGATATACCACTTCGTCGGAGAGAGGATGGGTTTGACCAATTCGTATGGATCAGGAGGGATTGGTGCTTGATATTCATCATCCAAACTCCCCTCTCAACCTCACACGTCTCGGGCAATGTCAAACTCTTCATTCCACGCAAAACAAGATCATCACCACATCACGGCCCGGGAAAACCAAGTTCAGGGCAATAGTTATAATACGTACTAATATACGAGGAAAACATAACTCAAGAGACAGAAGGCACTCCACCACGCCTCTCTCTCTCTCTCTCCACATTTGGTATCTCCTCCGCTAAAAAGGATCTCACCCTAGAAATATAACAAAGCCTGTCAATGGAAGAACACCTTCCACAAAAACGTCCCTTCCCTTCCCTTGCCTTCCCGCCGCCATAAAACCCTTCCAAGCAAACCCCCGCCATGGAACAACCAGAACTGAAAAGACAAAAACCAAACATTTGGTGAATCCAGTTCTCCGATCGGGTGGGGGACAGACGACGACAACAACGATGATGATAAGGCTGAAAAAAGACCCCAGAAAAAGAATATATAATAGAAAAGAGTGCAAATGCTGCCAGATACATAGGTACGCAAACGCAAAAACTCTCGATGCAATGCTTTGTTTGAGGGGGTTTGTTGTTTAAAAATCGCTCTCTCAGAGTCGAAAGCAACAACAGCAACCAGAAGGGAGAGGGAGAGAGAGAGAGAAAAAACAACAGAAAAAAAACAAGAACAAAACAACAAGAAAGGGCGCGAACCAAAGACTCGCTACGAGTCTTGTCTTTTATATGCAATTCCTCCCCAAAGAGTTTCCTCCACCGCACCAATCCCTTCCTTTGTCTCCGAACCAATTTCCAAAAACGACCCTGCGGAGGTCCAGCGTCGTCTAAGAACGACAGAGAGTTGCTAAACATGCTCTTGTCCAAATCCTCCGTTTCTCCATTCCCCTTCCCCTTTCCCCTCCTTACCCCATACCCCCCGATGCTGCCCTGTCCCTGCCAACCCACCCCTTTCCTTCCTCCCCCGTCCGTTCCCTTCTTCGTCCGGTTTCGAGCGTAGGTATATGTATATAGTCGCTGACAAGTCGGCCGTGAATGAAGAAAGTTTTCGGTCCAGTAGAGCACACTCTCGCCTGATGCGTATACAAGGCATAATAACATGTCGCAAAACCAGGGAGGATCCAGTCAAAAAACTCAAAAAGGTGGCGAGATTCGAGGGCTGTGTTTTTTTTGTACTGCGTAATCGTATAGGGATTCCTTTGTAACAAAAATGTTTTTTCCAGATTTCCAGGTTTCCAAGGGGGTAAAGTGTCTCCAAGTAGGTACGAGAAATGAAGTAAAAAAGCAATATTCGAATTCGCAAAACGCCGGTTCATGGATGTTTGTTGTTTGGGGTATGAAGAATTTCATGACCAAGAGCTGAGGGCGCGTCTGTCCGTCCCGCGTCTCTTTTTTCTCTGGCCCGCGCATACACATTGGGCATTTCGTTCCGCCCGGTTTTGATTCCTCCCAATTAATTTGTTGCCTTTAAAGCTTTCCATAATACCAAGTAGTCCCATCCCGATCCCAGGTGTTTCTGTCGTCATTTGAATCGCGAGCGTCGCAGGAGAGCTTTCTTCGTGTACTGTTCTCCGCTTGGTAGAGGGGGGCGCTGCGTCTGGGGGTTTCCCGTTTTTACATCTGCATAGGGTGTCCAGGGTGTCCGTGGTAGCTGTGTCCGTGATTCGGGGGATGACCGTGGCCCGATCCGTTGCTTAGCGAGCGGTGTCCCTGGTTAGGCGAGTTGTTCGCGCTGCGGTGGTTAGGTTCGATGAAGGATGCCATAGACATGGGGCCCGGGTGGTGGTGGTGATTGGCCGGCGGCGCGGACGTGGGTGGCGGGGGCGGGGGGATTGTCGGCCCCGTGTGGCTATTGGTGCTGCCGAAGCTGCTGGAGCCAACCCTCGGGTGCTCAGAAAAGAGCTCCTTTTCGATGTGTTGCAGGATATGCATGTCAATCGTCAGTGAGCTAGATGACTGGGCATGCATCTCGAGCATGCTGATGGTCCGTCGGAACAGCATCTTCAGTTCTTCCCTCGACACGAGATGGTGCAGGTAAGGATCGCGGAAGGCGGCCGCCAAAATCAAAAGATTACCCCATTGCCTGTGACGGTCAGTATGATTTCATGAAAGCCACGGAAAAAGCCACAACTTACGCATGGGCTGTGCCAAAGATGTTGGTGACGAGAAGTCGCTTGCTGTCGACACCGTGGAAGGCCCGAGTACTCTCAATGAGGGCCTTGATACCTCTGTCGGCATATGACTTGACTTCTTGAGTGAGCTCATCGTGACCGCGGATCCCGTGAGAGCCCTGCCCCACAAACGCGGTCGCATCGTGTTGGGTGAAGACGCCGATGTGTCCCACCGTTTCCTTGTTGAGCACGCCGGAACTATCAGACCGTTGCTTTAGCCTGTCCGAAACTTCCAGGACGAATCTGACAAAGGGTCGGTAGATGATGACTCGAGCACCCCAGTACTTGGCACGCAACCGCGCGTCAATGAGTTCTTTCGCCGGCTCGTCGTCCTCGTTGAAGTGGAAGTCCTTTGATACCCACTTCATGCTTCTCAGTTGCTCCTCCAAGTCTTGCACTTTTCTCATCTTGTCAGTGATCGAAACGTGTATGTCCTGGGGATCGTAGAGCAAGTTGTGGATCGTGTTCAACGTCTTTCGCAGGTACAGCTGTCCGATGTAAGAGTCTCGTACTCTGAGAGTGGTTTCGTTCTCTATGAGCTTCATGTTGGGCCAAGGCATGATTTGCTCGTAATCGAGACATCTTGATCGTGGGAGTTCAAGTTCCGCAATGATGTCGCTTGAAAGTTGTTAGTATGAACCAAGAGTCGGGATATGGCAAAACCTACTTTTCGAGTTGCAGACAACTCCAGTATGCTAGGAGGACCATGTTATCGCGCTTCTTCTCAACTGGGTTAAAAGGGTCCATCTTCGAGAAGCGGTCCATGTCACTGCTTGACATCAGTCTCTCATCATTTTTAATATTCGTGTTGAGTCAACTTACCGACGCATAATCATGTTCAAAGCTCGGGCGGCATTGAAGAACATGGCATCACTCTCCAATACTCTGCCTAGTTGACCATGATACAGACCAGCAAAAATGAAAGTCTGCGCGTGCTTCATCGTCCAGCCAGCCATGTGGTTGCCCATAATGTCAGAGGCATAGGCGAAATACTCGAGACCGGGAATGATATCGTAGTTGCGCTTCAACGTCGAACTGGACTTAAGGCTGCCGGCGCCGCTGCCCTGCAACGAAGGCCGTCTGCTGGGAAGACTATTGGCCTGCTCCTTTGGCGAAGGTAACCCAGAGGATGAATGCGCTGAGGAGTATGATGGAGGCGATGCCTGGGCACCGGGGGAGGACGGGTATCCGTTCCTGTTCATGGGAGAGTTCTGGCTGTGTTCTACCATGTCCCGGGGAAGGTCCGGGATCTTGGACTGATGCAGGCAAATCTTGCCCAAGGCGAGAATGACCAACACAAGAGCGTTTTCAATTGTCCTGTGCGGCCTGCCAGCCTTCTTGGGGAGTTGTATCGGTTCTTCTGGTTGATCCAGTGCTGGCGAGGACCGCTTCCGCTTGTTTGACATTTCGGGGTAGCTGCTCGTCGGCGCAACAAACTTGGCGACGCCGGGTGCGGGCGGTTTGGGCTTCTTCTCGGTCTGTGCAATATTGTCCAAGAAGCGCTTGACCAGAATTCTCAGATCTCCAGACAGGATAATCGGGTGAAGGCTGAGGATGTGCTTCTCGAAGCTGGTGATATAGGCCTTGACCTTTTCTTCAGAGAAATCCGGAGCCCCGTCGGGTGTGAGCGTCCCACTGGTGTAACCCATGCTTGTTGGCGGGCTCAGTCCTCCGACCTGTCCCCAAGCCTCGCCCGGAGAAGGTGAGTTTCCAGTCTCTGAGAAGTTGTCTTCCATGACGTCCATGGTGCCAAACGCCTCCGAGGCCGCAATGCTTGCAACGCCGCGACTGGGATCTTGACCACTTCCTTCTCCACGTCCGTAGAGTCGCAGAACGCCGCGCTTCTCTTCCTGAGCAATGGGGTACTCTTGAGGATACTTTACATTCTCTCTCTCCAGAATTCCCTGCGTCATCTCCTTGACTCCCGGCCAGAACAGAATGGTGTCGGCTCTGGTTGTGTGGTTTACCGGAATCGAAGGAGGACCCGGCGCTACAGGTGGCCCAGGTGGGTTGTCGGGCGCATCGTCGTTGTCCATGTCCGTATCGTGCATCTGGTGGGCCAAGTCCGTCTCGCCAACAGCCATGGGCTGCGGCTCCGGCTCGTGCATGTCTTCATCATGTTGAGGGTAGTTTTCCACAGGGGGCGCGGGGACCGGTGATAGCGACTTCACATGCGACTTATCGGCTGGGGAGTCATCCGAGAGCGGCGCCTCGGCTTCCATCTTGATGTTGTGCATGTTCAGCCTCTGTTCCATGTTTTGCATCCACCTTTGCTGGGCCGCAATCTGAGCCTCAAACTTGGCCTCCATTGCGCTCTTCATCTCGGAGATGGCCTCCAGAATGTCTGTTTGGCCCTTGTCGATCCTATTTCCAACATCAGCAAGATACATTATTTGAGGGAGGGGAGGCAAACTCGACTGACGCCTTTGGAATAGGATCACGATATTTGCACTCGACACCCTTTTCTCTGCAACTTTTGCAAGGCTTAGTTTCATCACATTTCGCCTTGAGCTGCCGACAGCTGTCACAAGCCTGGTACACATGGTCAGCGCGAACTGATATACATGAGAGAACACTCGCGCGGTCGTACCTGAGAGGCTCTTGTTGCCTTGCGCTTGGCAGTGGAAGAGAACTGGGCGTAGATCGACTCAGGAGGAGGTTGCGGTTGGTACTGCGGCTGCTGTTCATAATGCTGAGGTTGTGGTGGTGGCGGCTGGGCCATGGGCGGAGGAGGAAAGCTACTTCGGTAGCCCCCCGGCGTGGGAGGCATCTGCTGTGGCCCGTTATCGTAGCTCATGTGTCGTCGGGAGTCGTCGGGGTACGGTTGGTGGGAAGGATGCGGCGGCGCAGAGTGCGGCGGAGGAGGGAGGCCGTCCGGTGGCCCGCCTCCTGTCGAGTGAGGCCTTCGTGGGTGGGAAAGGTTCTCGTCGTGCGGTTCCCTCTTCACACCGCCAGGGTCTCGATTTGGGAACGGTGGGTAAGGCGGATGCGCAGGTGAGGGCGGGTGTCGATAGTGGTCCTGCATCGGCGTGTAAGGAGGCTCTTGCTCATGGTGTCGTCGGTCGTCGGGATGATGTTGCGGCGCCGGGTGAGGAGGGTGGTGAGGCTCGACGGAGCGAGGAGGGTACGGAGGCGGCTGCTGCTGGTGGTTATATGGCGCAGGCGGCGGCGCGTGTTGTTGATGAGGCGGAAGAGGATGTGCCTGGTGAGGCGTCGACGGGTGCGAGGGCGGCGGGTGGAGTGGTGGTAGATGGTGTTGCGGTGCGCCGGTTGGTGACCACGAGTTGGTGCTCGAAAGACGGGGGCGTTTGTTGTCAGGCTGCCCCGGAGGATCCATGCTTGATATATATGTACATACGTACAATGCTTATGAAAAAACAAGAGACGAAGCGAAAATAGGGTCAGGCCGGATCAGAGGAGGAGAAGGTGGCGGCCATGGAAAAGCTTTGGGCAACGAGGAAGAGCCAGACGTCCAGTTCCGGTCCAGGTCCAGTAGTCTCTCAAAGCTGGGTCAGCGCAACGCAGCGCAACGCGACGCAGAGACGGGAGCAGCAGTGGACGGGGATGAGGAGAGGAGAGGAGAGGAGGAGCAAGACGGACAAGCGAGTAACCAAGCGACCAAGCAAGCAATCAATCAATCAAGCAGGAAGCCTGTGTGAGTTGAGGGAAGCCGGGACGGGGAACGGAGATCAGGTTGGGTTCTGGGTCTGGGGCAGCAACAATTGGAGGCTCTCAGTGTTTGGATGAAAGCATGGGGCCGTGGTGGTTCCTCTTCCTGATGGCGGCGTGTCTGTACGTACGGTAGGCAGTGTACAGAATGTGGTCCACGGTTTACCGGTACTGAGAAGTGCAACGTATGTGTACGAAGTGCGCACGGGAAGGGTAGGTAGGTCGGTGTGAAAGTCGGAGAGGTACAGATAGTAGAGGAGGGTGAGGGTGAGGAGTAGTGAAGGTAGGAGGAGGTACTTGGCAACCCAATGTCGGGAATCTAAGTCGTTGGGAGTCGAGGTATCCGTATCCGTAGTAGACCTGGATGTATCCGTAGAACCTATCTTGGGTGTCTAGGGCCAAGGACCAAGGAAGGTATCCGTAAGGTAGGGGGGGACTGGGAGTCGGAGAGTGGAAGGGCGGAAGAGACGCGGCGGCGGCGGCGCGCGGCGAGGACGGGAAGGGTCGTCGATTCGAC